TTAGATATCCGTTCATTTCTTTCAGGTTTTCAAATTTAGTAGCATATAGGTTTCTAAAATATCCCATTATAATGTTTAAAACAGTGGTTAGATGCCCGAAGTAGGTGGCAGTGCCTTAACTGTATGCGTGTTGTTAGGCCCAAGGGCCTCTTCCATCCTTGTCAAGGGGAGTGCTAGCCTTCTCTCCTTTCATACAACACCTGTCAGGTAACATCTTTTACGTACTATCCCCTTTCAGGTTGTTTCTTTTCCTTTACCTCCATGTATCCTTTATCTTTACCTGGTTCCTGTTGTTATATCAGAATTTATAGAGCCACATATAAGGAACTGGTGCTACAAATCCACTTGCTTTTCTGTGTTTGTGTCACTTCACTTAGTACAACACTATCTAGCTCCATCCATCTACCTGCAAATTTCATAATTTAATCTCTTCTTACTGCTGAGTAGAACTCCATTGGGTAGATATGCCACACCTACCATATGATCCAGTTCCACTCCTTGGCATATACCCAAAGGACTCATCGTACTGTAGAGATACCTGTACATCCGTGTTTGTTGCTGCTCTCTTCACAATAGCTAAGAAATGGAAACAACACAAATGTCCCTCAATTGGTGAAAGGTTAATGAAAACATGGTATATCTACTCAAAGGCGTTCTATTCAGCAATAAGCTTTTGACTTTCTGAGTGGTCTCATTTTCTGAACATACTTCCTTTCCATGAGTGTTTGCAATATATTATCTCTGATAGGACTAACTGTAAAGATAAAAATCTCTTGCTTCTTGACCTAATAGAACCTGATTCTAGACCTTTACCATCACCATCAACTCTTTGTTTGCATTGTTGCTTTGCCTCAGATCTATCTTCTTGATGATTTTTCTGCAATAAACTTGTCAAGCAGAGCATTGAAGTGTACAGTTTGCTGTGGTCAGATTTATCATTTTGTGTTTGAGGAATGTGAAATTTCCTTGATTCCAAATCTATCACATGCTGTAAATGATAAATGAAGGCGATTACTAGGAAATTGTAACACTAGCATAAGGAATTTCTGTTTTCCAAAAGTGCTTTGACGCTTCACTGCTCTTCAAATAGTTGTGAGCCACGTGGTATATTGTTTGCCTGTAATGTCAGCATTTTGGAGACTGATGCAAAAGGATTCTGAGTTCCAAGCCAACATGGAATACATTGTTTATTTATTACTTAAAATTTAGTTGGTGCTAGTTTGTCTTGGTGCTAAAATGCATTTTTATATTTAATTACTGTAACATTATATAAGAAATTTAGGGCTTAATAAGAAACTAGATATATGCTTTTAACAATGAAGAGTCAGTCTTGATTTCTTTGAGCAGTAAATTTAGCCATAGTCTTGATGACTTTTCAAAGTAATAAAATCGAGTATATTCTTCCCATTGTACCATTATGGTAAAATTATTTAATTTTGTCATTTATTTTTGTATTACTGTAATTTTTTTTCAACATTTGCTGTTTGAAGAATAGCCAGTACAGTATATTAGACTTCTAACCAATGTTTCAGATACACACACTCCTTCCAATAATCACCTAGTAGTTTTTAAGTCACAAGTCTGTGTCAATAATATTATATTTTATGTAAATTGTGTCCATTTTTTGGCTATTTTCTCAGCGTAAAGTTTATTTCTGTTATCTTTCATCATTCATTAAAGTGCAGTTTCTTTCAATGTATAAACATTTTAGGGGATTAATACAAGGGCCAACAAAAATCTGGGGAACTGTCCAAATGTCATTGCAATAGAATCTACATGATATTGGCCACTAGAGATTATGCCATCTTAAAAATAAACTACTTAATTTTTTTCTCTATGCACAATGTCTGCCTTCTAACTCACACACCATATTGATATTTATGGCAACAATGATTTCTATAAAATATGTTTTCTGTGATATATAAAATTGCCATCTTTCAAGTATATTTTAAGCATTTTTCACTCTTAATTTCAAGTGAGTATACAGTATACACTTCAACTGACAAGGAATTAATATTCCGATTTATCTCATTTTAAAAATAATTTTCATGCTCTACTAAAATTTTGGATTCTAGTCACATATCATGCAGTGTCATCTTCAAAAATTCTGCCATTAACATTTACTAATATACCACTTCTGCTTCCCATAATACACCTAGGCAAGGAAAGGCATGAACTATTTATGTAGGCATTGTTCCTAATCATCTGAGCTGTACATCTTGTTTCAAATGTCTGTACTATGATTTAAATTATTCTATTTTTATTCTTTATAGAGAAAAACTACACATTATTATTACTTATTTTTGCATCCACTGAATAAATATATGCATTATATATAAAATGTCTGGTGTGTGTGCGTGTATGGATGTTCATGTGTGTCTTTAGAAACAAATGTGTGGGTGGAGGCCAGAGTTTGACACTGAGTATGTTCCTCAGTCTCCCTCCATTTTAGTTGTTGAAGGGGATCTCCCTGGACCTAAAGACCACATATTCAGTTGATCTAGCTGGCCAGCTTGGCCTGGGGCTCCCCTGTCACTGCCTCTCCATACCTGCCTGATTTTTTTTTTTTTTTTTTTTTGGTCTTTTTGAACAGGATCTCCCTGTAGCCCCAGCTGTCCTGGAACTCACTATGTAGACCAGTCTGGCCTTGAACTCACAGAGATCCATCTGCCTCTGCCTCCCGAGTGCTGTGATTAAAGGTGTGAGCCACCACGCCTGGCACCTGCCTGAATTTTTACGTGGGTTCTGGAATCTGAACTCTGCTCCTCAGACTTACAGGTCCATCTTGCTCACAAATTCAATCAAATTTTACAACTTATTTGTTTGCATTCTGTTACTTTTTAGAAACACATTGGCCTTGAACTGAAGTTAAACTTCTAAATAATCAATATTTTGTGTGTAATTTAAAAAAAATATTTTCTCAAAATATTTCATTTTCCTCTCTGTGAGATACATTTTATTAAAATTTAATAGAAAGAAAAACTGATAAGATAGATCAGACTTGGTAGATCTTTAAAAATAATAGAGGACATGAAGTCAGGGGTTGGTAAGGGGTGGAGAGGAGTGACAGGGTCTCAATGTGATCAAAACACACTGTATGAAATTATCAAATCAATAAAAACTATTTTTAAAAGAAATAAGATCAAGTTTAAATGATTTTTATAATTTTGACATTGCATTTAATATTTAGATGATTAAAAATTGCTGATTTTAGAGAGATTTAAAATCAAGTTAAGTCATGACATTCAGAGGTCTGAAGGACAAAGAATGATGGAAACCTCAGTCCAATTGCCACTTTCAAGAACTTATTAATTTTTTCAGTGACTACTTTTGCTGTTGTCCTTGTGTGTATGCATGCTTTCCATGTATTTTACAGTCAGTTGCCCTTGTCAAAAATCAACAGTAACAGCAAAGGCATCAGCAGCAGTGAATGCTTGCTGTCTACTGGAAATGGAATGCTTCCTTTGTGCACCCCATTTAATCACCAGGCGAGTCTGTAGTATCACAAGTGTCACTTTTGCATGAGAGGAGTCTCAGAGGTAGAAGGGCAGTCACATTTTCTGTTTAAGTTTACACAATTGCTGTGCCAGGCGAGGTATTCAGCCCAAACTTGACTTATTCTAAAATGCTTGTATGATGCTATGTAGCATTTGAAGCTTGCCAGAGCTTCGATATTTTCAAAAATTATTTTTACCATATAAGAATATTTAGAACTTGGTTGATGAGCAGATCAGCAGGTAAAGACACTTACTACCAAGTCTGACAACCTAAATTGGATCCCAGGACCCACGTAGTAGAAGGAAACCTCTACATGTGTGCTGTGGCTCAAGCTTATGCATGTGCACACACATACAAAAATGTAATAAAAATTACTTCAAAAAGTATTTAGGATCTACCATAAAAAGCTAATTTGATGTGATTAGAATAATTGTGATAATAATAGTAGTTATTACAAAGTGAAAGGATCCCTGATTGTTATATAATACATTTATATAATTTAGTCATTATAGCTGTCACAAAGTAGGTGCTAGTAAAATTTCGAGGCTGAGGACTGCTTCATTCTTAGAATGATCATAGTTTTGTTTTGTTTTGTTTCTTTTTGAGACAGGGTCTCCCTCCAACCTCAGCTGGCCTGGAACTCACTATGTAGACCAAATTGGCCTTGAACTCACAGAGATCCGCCTGCCTCTGCCTCCCAAGTGCAGGGATTAAAGGTGTAAACCACCACACAATGATCATAGTTTTGAATAACTAGTGTTGCTAAAGCTGAGTTTTTAAATTCATGAGCATCCCTCTAATGCAGCTCCACTTCACGCTCCATGTTTTTTTCTGTACTTTCAAGCTTCTCAAACTTGGAGAGATTGCTCAGCGGTTAAGAACACTGGTTGTTTTGGCAGAAGACCTGGGTTCGAATCCTAGCACCCACATGGCAGCTAACAACTGTCTGTAACTCCAGTCTCAGGGGATCCAACAGGCTCTTCTGACCTCCGTGGGCATTTCAGGACATGGGTGCACTTAACCTACATGCAGGCAATACATGCATACTCATAAAATTTAAAAAAGAATTTTAAAGTTTAAAAAAAAGAATTTCTTTTTCCCATCTATACTCATTATAATGAAAATGATGAAATTTTATAGCATGTAATAGCGAACAATTATAGCATTATAATTGTTTGAGCGTACAATACCACAGAAATATAGTTTATTCTCATTTTATATATGGATTCGTGGCTGACACTTTTTGTAGATTAACTTTATAAAAATATAGAATAAATGTTATTTTCAAAAGCTTTTGTTTTCTATGTGCTTTTTTGAATGGAAGGAAATTTATGTTTTATAAAGTAAAATGTACACTGAAAATGCATTATAACTTAACAAACTTAACATTGAGATCACAAGGATACTTTTATTGAATATCAGTCTCCTACTATTTCCCAGAAGGGACAGATTTGTGTTTTCATGCTGGTTTCTGAGCACAATCTCATTTCTCATTCACTCAGGTATCCCCTGGCCTCCACACTGGATCCACTCTGATTCCCATGAACAGCATTTCTTTGCCTCAAGGGGATGAGGATTATGGCTACCAATGTTTAGAGGGCAAAGACTGCGCCAGCTTCTTCTGTTGCTTTGAAGACTGCAGGACGGGGTCCTGGAGGGAAGGAAGGATACACATACGCATTGCCAAAATTGACTCCTATTCAAGAATCTTTTTTCCAACAGCCTTTGCCCTGTTCAACTTAGTTTACTGGGTTGGCTATCTTTACTTGTAAATTCCACTACTAGGTTAAAATAATAAAAGCCTGGCTAAGTCCAATACAATCTATTCTACTGCAGGAACATGAAGCTTAAAATTTAAAGGCAAAGAATACAGTGGCTAAAATCAGAGTGGTACTGTAATAATTTTTAAGACTTTCACACATAAGTAGATAGCAGCTTTCAGACTAATTTATCTAAATTGATATGCAATTGATTGTCAAATTAGCGTATTGAAATCAGACCATTTTTACTTTAATTTTCTTTATGTTACTTGTATGCTATTAAGTTTTCAACTTAATAGTTCTGTGGTACATATTTTAAAGTTAAATAATTTTAATGAATATTTAATTTAATTGTAACTATTGTTTATAATGAAAGACTAATGTCTAATATTTATTTAGGTTTTTATGTTGAGGGCTATTAATTTGATTTCATTTCTTGCTTTCTATTTGCCCTATTTGGAATATAGTTTGTTTAAAATAAAGCCATGGAATTCTTGGATTTATTTCCAAGATATATTACTCCCAAGAAGAAAGTAATGTGTGTTAATTCTTCTTTTAATTTAAATTTTTGTGAATTGACAGTTTTTAATTGTGTACATTTATGGATTTATGGAGTAAAATGATGTCATGTCTTATTAACAAAATGCAGGAAAATTATATCAAGCTACCAGGCAATCAAAGTCTATAAAGTGACCAATTTTTATCTGTATTCCAGTTGATTTCCTACTACAGTGTTAAACAGAACTCCAGCTACCATTTAGTTTCAGGGTTTGCAAACTTGGATGTAAACCAATAAAGACATGTTTTTGTTTTTGTTTTTTTTAACGCAAGATGAAAAACTATGAAATTTATTTTCTGCCTCATAGCATTTATGAAGTATAAAGAGGCTAATAATAAAATGTTAAAATCTATTAGCACTGAAATTAAGGGAAATGGGAAATGGTCAAGTTTTTTCTTTATAAACTTCAAAAGAGTATCTTAAGTTCACAAAAGAATTGAGTACAAGTGATTGTCTAAACTGCCTAAAAAGTAATCTGGAAAAATTAATTTGCCAGTCATGTTGGGGATATGGTCTTAAGTATCAGCTATTGATATTTTTTTAGGCCAGATGTATTTAGGAAACAAACTGTGTCACATGTTATGTAGCCCACCCACTGATTTCTGAACCCACTTTCACAAACGGTATTACAGATCATTATGTTCTGTTTTTCAGGCATGTGGGAAACCTCAAACATAATTTTACAGATGGACTTTTGTGAGAGGCCAACTTTAATCAACTTGAGGGAGCATTCAAAATTCCTATAGTTAGAAAATGAGAGGCTCCAGATGAATTCTCAGTGTAGGTAAAACCCATCAGTTAACATTGACCACATGCTTCTTCTGTTGGGCAGATTTAAAATTTAGGCTTCAATGATTACAAACCACTAAGTGTTTTGAAATATCAGATATTGATAGCTTCAGATTAATTCACCATCAGGTCATTTTACAGCAAATGATCCAGGTGAATTTATACATTCTTATGAGAAACTGTCATGCCTGCAGCAGTTATAAAGATGAAAGGTTTTATTACTAAGGCTAATGCTAAGTATGTAAGAGAAGCTGCCCTGTACATGTTGGCACAATTGTTTTTACTGAGATAATTTCTCCACAGTTTGAATCAATCCTGGGTTAGGCTCTGAATGTATTTCTCCATTTCCCAGTTAAATTGAATATTTTCACTTTCATCATTAACCTCTGCTAAAAAGAAAGAAAGAAAGAAAGAAAGAAAGAAAGAAAGAAAGAAAGAAAGAAAGAAAGAAAGAAAGAAAGAAAGAAAACATACACGAGATGAATGACAAATTAAAATATTACATGTTTTTAAAACTGGAGTGCCAAATAAAATTTTGACTGTGTATGTATTTATTTCCAAATATTTCATGCATTCATGTTCACAACATTGAATGTTGTTGGATGTTAGTAGGACAAACATTCATTAAGGCATAAAATATTTCACTATTCTTTTATGGCTGGTTCCATATTTACAGTCATAGCTTGCTCATTTCTAAGGGTGACTTTGATTTGGGGGTTCTTCTAACTGTATCTAAGCATGACTATATGTTAAGTACTTAAAATGCTTGATATAAATATCCTTGATTTTTCTCGTTGTTGCTTTATTAAGTAGGCTTTAAATGTTGACAGTATTTCCAAGTGAAAATAAAATGGATAAAACTATGAAGGATGCTTTTCAATACATACACATATTCCTTATATATTTCATTTGTACTTTGTTTCAAAGCCAATGATATCTTTATTTAAACATGAAGATCAATAAAAATATACAAATTATTTATTTCTATACCTAGAAACATCAAAATAAAGATACGTTTAGACTTTTTAAAAGATATTTAAAAGAATTTCAGATACTGTTCCCCAATTTATATCCCCACTCTTCCACCCTCCCCTCTTTCTGTTCCAATGCATAGTGTTTGGTAAAGCCATTGACATGCCCTTTTTTATTATGTATCTTTTGTAAAGACCTAACAAGCCTAATTTGTTTCCCCAAATGACCTTGGTTGTGGGCCCATCCTTTGGAGTCTTGTCAACCAACTAGGCATCACAACCTTAATGAAAACTGACTCTCCCTCTTCTATCAGCAATCAGTTCTCAATAGACTTCCAGCTAGGGCTGGAGCTTCTTGTCCACCTTCTCCACTCTACTGGATTTTGTCTGACTTGGGTTTGCACAGGCCCTGTGCAAGCTGTCACAAGCAATGTGAATTTATATCTGAAACTGCTCCATGGCATCCAGACACCATATTTTCCTTGTACTCATCCACCACCTCTGACTCTAAAATCTTTCTGCCCCACCCTCTGTCTTCAACAATGATCCCTGAACCTTGGGTAGAAAGAGTGTGTTAGAGGCATCTAATTTAGGACCAAGCACCCAGTCTCCTAATCTATGTACATTGACCAGTTGTGGGTCTCTGTATTAATCACCATCTGCTGCACAAAGAAGATTCTGTTGTGAGAGTTGAGATGTACTAAATTTATGGGTATATCAATAAGTCATTAGGAGTCTGTTTAATATATCCATTCAACAGACTAATAATAGCAGGTTCTCCTCTATAGTTTGTGACCTGTCTGGCCTTGTGACCTGCCTGGCTGTAGGTTTTGGCCCTGAAAAAAGTGCAAGGTACAGGTTCCATGTTGTGAAACAGGTCTTAAATCTAGTCAGGAAGTGATGGGTTAACTATTGCACAGTGGAATTTCTTGCAAGGGTAGTTGTTATTATAGTTGTCATGGAGCACAGCTGGGTAAGGTCAATGATTTCCTTTGTGTGCATAACAACTTCTAGTACTATGAATGCTAGTCAACAGAGAAGAATCTTCAAAGTCAGTATCAGCTTGACTTCTCCTTGTTTGTTCTATGGCTCATATAGGTTGTATATTCAGGAGTAGGGTCTTACTATCAAGTTCTGTTTGGCAATCAAAACAATGGTAATAATCTGTATTGTTTGAGGGTCTATGGGACTCTTCTAGTCAACAACACTAAAAAAGGGAGTGGATTCTTGGCATTGGGCTTTCTGTTCCAATGCATAGTGTTTGGTAAAGCCATTGACACCCTCTTTCCTTAGTTATAGGGTTACTACATTTAAATTCTTTTTATATTGTATATGTGTATATGTTAGGACTCTTCAATAGTAGTAGCTTTTTATATGCATTTTCAAAAGTCCTTCAGTGTTACTTATGCCTCCATATTCCCGTGGAATATGCCCTACACTGCCCTCCTATTTCCCACTCAGTCTAACACTTCCTACCTTATTATTCCCCTTTCTCACATTAAGTCACTGCATTCTATCTTTCTTACTATAAAATCCCTCACGTGGATCCTTATCAGGTTTCAGATATCTATGGATTTTCCAGTAAAACACATTTATCTAATGAATGATTCAAAGCTAACATCCATGTATGAAACGGAACAACTTAGATGTTCATCAACTGATGAATGGATAATAAAATATGGTACATTTACACGATGGGATATTATTCAGTTGTTTAGAAAAACAAAATCATTAAATTAACAGAGAAATACATGGAACTGGAAACAAACATCCTGGGTTACAGAAAGAAAAATGGTATATATTCTTTCTCATAAATGGATGCCAACTTTGAATCTTTAGATAGACCTTTTTGTCCCCTAAGAAATCATTTAGAGCTTATTTTTAAGAGAGTGCAATCCAATTTTTGTTTTTATTTCAAATTTTAATTCTACTATGATGAAATATTTTAATCAATTATACATTCTTTTTCTATGTGAAATATGTTTATTTATTTTTAATTTTTACATTTTTGTTGTAGGGTCTCCCTGTAACATCAACTGGCCTGGAACCAGTTATGCAGATCAGGCTGAACTTGATCTCACAGAGCCTGGACTTGCTTTTCCCAGTTACACAGAAAAATAAATTACACTAACATAAACTAAAACACACACACACACGTTAGTTTGTGTTACACACACACACATATATGTACATATATTAGGAATGAGATGTAAACAGGAAGCAGGAATCTTAAGATCATTTGGAAAATGTTAATTCATATAGACCCATCCTTTAATTATGCAACCAGAAATTAAAAGTTTTGAGAATGCCTTTAATTCTAGCACTTGGGAGATAGAGGTAGGTAGATCTCTGTGAGACTGAGGAAGCCTCTTCTACATAACGAGTTCCAGAGTTCCGGGTCAGCTGTGGCTACAAGGAGACCCTGTCTCAAAGTAAACAAACAAACAAAAAAGTTCTGAGAAGAAATGTGAATGGTAGCACTTTATCTTCTTGGATAAAATGGCATGGTACTATTTATATACCCTTTAATTTCATGGATAAAATTAGGCTTACATGAAATGAATTTTTATAATGTCAAATTAATTGTTTTAGATAAAAAAAGTACTTGATTATGTGAAATTATTGTGGGAAGATGGAAAATTATTTCCAGTTAACAGAAATAATGAAATTTTGATGAACCAATTAGATATTTCATTGAGTACATTTTAAGTTAAAAAGAGATTTCATGAATAAATTTTAAGAACTAATAGTATAGACTAAATTAAAATAATTAAAATATATTTGGGTGTGTAGGCAAAATTTTTCCTTTCACTGTGTTCCCATATTCTGATATATTTGACCAGGCCGGATTTGAACTCACAGAGATCTGCCTGCCTCTTCTGAGTGCTGGGATTAAAAGCATGCACCACCATGCC